GGCAGGGCGCACAGGGGGCCCTGTGAGGCACAGGGTAAAGCAGGAGAGAAAGCAGCCGAGGAACTGCCCAGGCGCCAGGCCCCGGGCCCTGGGCAGAGGTGCTTCACTGCTCTGGCCTAAGCTCCCCCTGAGCCTCCCGGGCCTGTGAAGGTTACGCACCTTTAACAGGCGGAGAAACTGAGGTTCCGAGGGCGTGATTCAGCTGACGGCTGGTGCACGGCCGAGCAGAGACCCACACTTGCTCTTTCCAGATCACCTCCTGGCCCTCAGCACGGCCCGCGTGGGTGGGGAACGATCGCAGTGAGGGGCCTGGGACAGTGGTTGGCTCCCAAATCCACTACTGATTGACACTCAGTCTCCTGGAGAAGGGACGGGATCCTGGATGGAGCCTAGTGCCGCCACCCGTTTCTCCCGAGATTCGGCACCCATCAAATCAGAACGTGGGACTGGCAGCTCAGTGATTTTCAAGCTGGATTCTTGGGCACCCTGGCCTCCCCTAGAGATAGAGATGGGAGAGGAAAGGACAGAGGATAGGGGCGTGCCTCTCCCCAGAGCCTGGCTTCCAGCAGGGAAGCTTATGAAGTTCAGGCGTTGGACACCCATGCAAGTTTTTACGGAAACGAAGGTCCCACGTCACCCCACAGCCTTTCTGGAGGCCTCTGCCGCTCTGACATCCTGGGAGCCGTGACTTAGGAAGTTCAGGCCCTGGGTTGGCAAGAGGAGCCAGAGGATCTGGTGAGGGAAACGGGCCAGACCGTGGCTGGGCTTCTGGCCCTGTGAGAGGAAGCAGGTCAAGGTCAGAGCTGTGAGATGGGGCTACGGCAGCGGAGGCAAGCTGCAGGGATCCCGGGCACCTGCCTTCACGCCTGGGAAAAGCAAACAGACCTTTGGCCATGGCGGGCAGCCTGGGAACCTCCCGGGGGCCAGACCACTGCCCCTTCCTCTTTTTCTGGAAGGCCTGCCTGGGCTTGTTCTCTGCGGATATTGGCTGCTGATCGTCAACCTAGGGCCGCCCTCGCCTCCCATGGCCTCACGGTTCCTGCCCGCCCAGGTCGAGGGCAACTTCAAGGCGAGAGCTGAGAAAAGGCAGAGCTGCTCTGGGACAGAAAGCACCACGCCAGAGGACGTTCAGCCACAGGGGCAATAATCCCTCGGAAAGAAGAACCCTTCTTGATGCCCCTTGACTGGACCATCCCAGACCAACGTCTGGCCTTCTGCCTCAGTTTTCCCTTTGGGAATCCGGGCGTAAGAATGGTTTCCCTCTCCTGGTGGCTTCCGCGCCCCCTGACTGGATATAATCACCTCCGTATTCCAGGTGGAGGCTCCAGCTGCCCAAGAACTGGATCTGGCTCCCGCTTCTGTCCCACTGCCCACCCGGGCCTGCCTCCGACCACCATCCACCCTCAACCTGCCGCAGCCGCGCTCCACAGAAGCAGGGCTGCCAGCAGGGTCCTTTGTGGTGCTGCTCCCTTGTGGCACTGCCTAGGGGCCCCACCATGGGGCAACAGATGGACCTATGGTCTCTACAGAACAATGGTGGGGGAGGGGCCCTGGCATTGCCCGCCCCAAACAGGAAGCGCTGCATGAGCTTCAAAGAACTGGCAGGGCCGAGGGGCTGGAGCCAGTGCCAGGACTGGCGGCTGCCTAAAGAGAGGCCTGCCAGCTCGGGATGCCCAGCCTGCGGAGGGGGTGGGGCTGCAGTGGCGAGGGCGGCTGGGTCCTGGGCAGAGGATGCCTCGCAGGTGACCCGGGCGGGAGCGGGCTGCGGGCAGGGGGCTCGGACGCTGGGCCGTTTCCCGGCTGCAGGGTCTTTCCCAGGCGGCAGTGGGTCTGGCCCTCCAGCAGGGAGCCATGAGGGGCAGGGCTGGCACCAAGCCTGCCGCCCACTCCCTGCCTCCTGCTCCCAGCTGCTCCGCTCAGAGCCTTTTCCTCTCCACTTCCTGTTCACACAGGGGGGGGCGGGAAGTGGAGGGAGGAAGTTGGGGGGAGGTGGGGAGGGGGGGACCCATTGAATAAAAGGAATTAACCGTTTCCCTCCTCTGACCTCTGGGAATTTCCGCCTGTGAAAGTGTCTCGAAGAATCTGCAGAGCTGGGGGAGTGGGGAGGAGGTGTACCCCTCACGCCCCCACCCACCCAGTGGGGCCAGATAAGTCCCTCCGGGCCCCCTAACCTTTTGTTTCCCTGGCGCCAGGGGGGCAGCGCCCAGGGCAGTCTGGAGACGGTGGCTTTGTGACCCCCAATGGGACTGGTGCCTGCCGGCTGCCATCCAAGCCCTGGGGGCAGGAACTCTGAGGATTGGTGGTCCCTGGGGGATGAGTTCACACCAGGCTGCCCAGACTCTGTGCCCCGAGCCCTCCCTGCCAGGGCCGGTGCCCCTGGCCAGCCTGCCTTGAGGACAAGAGGATGGACGGTGGCCAGGCGGGTGAGCCAGGCCTGACTCCGGGCTGGCACACCCTCCGATGGCCACTCCCCCGGGCGCGGTGGGAGGGAGCCGGCGGGCTGGGGAAGCCAGTAGACAGCGTCCCCTAGTGTCCTCTGCCAACCCGACGGGGCGGCTCCCCAGGGGCCTCTCAAGGGCGGGCCTCAGGAAGCACCTGCTCCCCAGGACCAGTGGCCGCCCTGCATCTCCCCCAGGTGGCTTCCTTGTTTACAGGCCTCCTGCCCTGATCCCAGCGTCACTGCCTCTGGCCACTCCTCCTATTTCCAGTGGCCGCTCCAGGAGCAGCGCATTCATCTTGGCCACTGCCCACACAGCCCCCCTCCCCCTCGCTGGCCCTCCCCCAGGCTTAGGGCCAAGGCCCTGAGGGCCTTCTCTCTCCCCTTCGCTCCGGGCCTTGCTTGGTTTCCAGGGATCTAAGAGCTGTGGCTTCCCGTTGCCCTGACTCAACGGAACCCCTATCTATCAGTGCCAGGGAAACCTGGGGCCTTTTTCCGGGAATGAGGAAGCGGCCTGGGACCAGATGGGCAGGCTGAGAGAGGACAGAAGGGGCAGGGGCGTCCCAGGCTGTCTTAGCCAAGTTCTCTGGGAGGAGGGGGCGATAGGCAGTGTTTGTTTAACTAGCATATTAGGCCCCCATTATGTGCACAGACAGAAGCCCCAAGCTGTTCTAAGTAGGGAAGGGACGGTGCCAGGGGCAGGCCAAGGCTTAGACCTAATTAATATGTACAAAACGGGAGGTGGGGGGAGGTACAATACCCCGAGTCCTCTACTGGGCATGTGTAGGTGTGAGGAGAGCCTTAGGGGAGAGGGAATAGGAGCCTTCCAAATCTTCCTGGAACGGGAGAGAACAGGATTCTGATGTCCTCTGCTTACCCAATGAGACCGCCACACACACACACACACACACACACACACACTTACTCCCACTCTTACTTCTGGGGGAACATAGGGAATCTGAGGCTCATCGGAGAGGCGGCTTCCAGCCCCGTAAGCTGGCAGAGGCCTTGCTGTTGTTCCAGGGGTTGGGGAACTCAGGTGGGCAAGATTCCACCGGGACCGCAGGAGATAAGTCTTGGGGGAGGATTTGACCGCAGGGGAGAAAGAGACTGCAGACACCAGCCAGGTGCCTTGACCCCAGCCTGATTCCAGGAACACTCGCTTGTTATTTTACTTCAGTCTGGCAGCTAACAGGCCACACCCAGAGAGCAGGCTGTGGACTGTGGCCGCCCGCGTCAGGAGCAAAGGCTGTTCGGCTGATGTCACAGGAAGGCCCCGCTCGAAGAATCTTTGGTTGTGGCTTAGCTTCCAGCCACAACGAAAGAAGTGTAATGTGGGGGAGGGGCAGGGTTCAGGAGCTAGATAGGAAAAAACCTGTTTGCCAAATGCCATGGATGGTAGCAATGGCACCCTCCCCTCCATGTTGGACTTCAACACTATGGCTAAGTGCCAGACAGTGACGGGGCGGCATCAAAGATGGACAGCACCTGGGCACTCAGGAATCCACGCTGGTAGAGAGGGGCAAGTAAAACCTAGTATTTGTAAGGGCTAATGGAGGGAGATGGAACGAGGGGTTTAGATTCATGGTTAGGTCACCGAGACACCCAGAAAAATGCTTGGGACAACTGGGGAAGGAACAGACTGAGGAAGAGAGAACTCCTGGAGAAAGCGAGAAATCAGCACGTCCAGCTGCCTGCGTGCAAAGGATTCTGTGGGGAGCAGCACCCCCTGCTGGCAGAGGGAGGAACAGCCCCTGTTCCAAACAGGATGATGGGTGGTAATTTCCAACCGAAGCCAAGAATCAGAGGACAGAGGGGAGGGACGGGCACGATCATCCTGTCACACTTCCAGGTGAAGACACAAGGGCCAAGGCTCGAAAGCATGCAGGACCCAGGTAGCTCTCCTGCGGCCCCCCAACCCTCCCGGGCCCCCGCCCACTCAGCCCAGCATCACCACAACCCACCAGCTCCAGAGCCACATGTGCAATGCAGTTTAATGCTCTCCACCGTCACCAGCTCCGGCTGTCCCCCACGGGCCTCTGCCCAGGGCACCCCTCACGGCGGAACACCCAACAGGGTGCACAAGACCGCACCCACCGCCCGCACTGCCTTCCCCACCCCCACGCCCAGGACTCGGAGGGGGTGTCTTTCCACTTCTGCAACCCGGGGCAGACGGAGAGAGGGCTCCCTCCGGGAGAGGAGAGGCACGGAGTGAAAAGGGAGGACGGCACTCTTGCTCTAGAAGCCGAGCAGGAAGTGTGCCGAGAGCCAGAAGGAAAAGCGAGCTGTTCGATGCCGAGGGGATGGGAAGGCGATCAGAGCGGTGACCTTCCCGGGAGGCGGGCTGACGGCCGGCCGGAGCAGCAGCCCGCCCGAAGGCAGCCCTGCAGAGCAGCGTGAGCAGCGGGCAGGTGCGCTCAGAGCGGATACCCCATGGGCAACGGCCGTAACTCCGCTCCCTCCTACAGCCGTGGCCTCGCAGCAGCCCCCTCACGCCGCCTTCCTCAGACCCAGCAAGTCGCTGTGCTGGCCCGCCTGCCCGCCTAGCAGGGGCGACCGCCCCCTACAGCCAGCTGAGGTGCTCCTCCTCGTAGCGCTGGGGGTCGATGAAGGGCCGGTCGATGGAGCGAATCATCAGCTCCCCGCAGTACACACACTCGGCCGCCACCAGTTCGTCCAGGTCAGCCTTGAGCTGGTCCCGGCCCGGCCCCGCGGCGGCAGCCCCCGCCTCGGCCTCCTTCGCGCGGCCGGAGCCCTTGGTGGGGGGCGGAGCGGCCCCCAGCTTGCGCTGCAGCTCCTCCAGCCGGGCCTGCTTGTAGGCCGGCAGCCCCGGCCGCACGGCCTGCAGCAGGCAGTCCGCGTGGAACATGTGGCCGCAGAGGAAGAGGTAGAAGGGGCGGTTGAGCAGCGGGAAGTCGCAGGCGGCGCACTTGTCCTGGGGCTCCACGGTGCCGTAGCGGCCCCGCAGCTCCTGCAGGTCCCGGCGGATGCGCTGGGCACTGGCCGTGGCCTCCTCCATCTCCCGCTGCAGCTCCTGGATGTGGTGGTTGTAGGCCTTCAGGGAGCTGCAGATGGCCTCCTTGAAGTGGTCGATGGTGACGAAGTCGGGGAAGAAGGGGAGCACGTCCTCGATCTTGAGCAGGGGGCAGCTGGCCAGGCAGGCCATGGCGGTCTGCACGTCCTCCTCCTCCTGCACCACGTGCCGTGCAATCTTCAGCCACAGCTTCTTGCGAAGTTCCTCGTCCTCCTCGGGCAAATCAGCACACTGCTTGGCCAGGTCCACGTCCACCTGTGGGGCAAGCACGAGTGTTAGGGTCAAGCCTCCTCCCCACCCAGGACACAGGCTGTGGGAGAGACCGATGCTGAGGGAGACCCTGGGCCTGAGGAGGGGCTTCTGGGAGCCAGGCTGGGAACCTGTCTCAGGGGTGGGCCTGTCCCCCCCACAGCTCTGCAAAAGCTGCTTATGACGGAGGGCTTCAATCTTAGGGAACTTAAAAACCACCTGGGGGTCATAATCAAAATCCAGATTTTGGGGCCCTACCTTCAGACATTCAGTAAGTCCTTTAGGTAATAACTCATTTGATTCAACTGATTTGAGAAATGTCCTTCTGCAATTGTGACCATGATACAATGGCTAGCGTGTATGTAGGACTTACCTAAGCAACAGGCACTGTTCTGAGTGCTTTTCCTATTCAGTACTTTCATTTGAGGGAAGTACTATCCTATGACCCCCTTCTTTGGATGAATCATCTGCGGCACAGAGAGGTTCAGAACCAGCCTGCGGTCACACAGCTTAGAAAGTGGCAGAATCGGAATTCAAATCCTAACTTCAGAGTCCCCGTTCTTAGCCTCTGCACTGCAGCACCTCTCCGCAAAGGAAGCCAGCACCCCCTGGGCACAGCCACCTCTCGAGCCCCTCAACACTGACGCTGCTGCTCTGCAGGCCCCTCTCTTGGATGGCGACAAGACTCACGGGCTCACCTGCAAGGCCAGGTCCACGGCCTCCTCGTACAGCTCCAGGACCCTGTAGACATGGACACAGGCTCGGTGGTGGCCGTGCTCAGCGCAGAGCCGCAGCGCGTACTTGAGGTCGTAATGCACGCGGTGCGGGCTGGCCCCGGCCTGCTCCAGGTAGGCCAGCAGCGAGGCCGGCTGGCCGCGGGCATACAGCGACAGCAGGTAGTTGTGAATGGCCTGCTCCGTCTCGCCCAGCACGTTCACGCAGAACTCCATGTAGCGGATGGCCTGGCTCACCTGCTGGGCCTCGCCGCCCTGGCTGTAGTTCACCAAGGCGGGGATGAGCTGCCGGGCGTCCAGCCGGCTGCCCATCTCGATCCAGGCGTCCACCAGCTGCCGGGGGATGTGACGGATGAGGATGGGCGAGAACTTGTAGAAGAGCTGGGGGTCCCGGTGGCGGGCCAGCACGGCCAGGGCCTCCTCGTAGGCCTCGTGCTGGCAGTGGTACGCCACCACCCGCTCGTAGTCCTGCATGATCACGGCGAAATAGACCATGTGCTCCGCGTCCCCGTGGCTGGCGAGCAGCTCGTGGATGGAGGCCCTGCTGGCGAAGAGCGCCTCCTTGTGGCGGGGGCTGCTGAGGAAGGCGCGGAAGCGCTCCCGCGTCTCCCGGTAGGGGCCCAGGGCCCCGGGGTCGCCCTGCAGGGCCCCGAGCCGGCTCAGGTACAGCTCCGTCAGCCAGGCGGTCAGCAGCGTGGCCTGGGTGCGCTCGGATGCCTTCAGGCTGGCCAGTTTCCGCTGCAGGAACTCGACCAGAGCCTCCTCCTGCCGCGCCTCCAAGAACTTGAGGGCGATCTCCTCGAAGTAGCTCTGGGTCAGGGCGTAGCAGCGGGCGCTCTCCAGGTAGCGGCGCTGACTGAAGCAGAAGTCGGCCTCGCGGGCCAGGACGGTGTCCAGGCAGTCGGGCCGCTCCCGGCAGTACTCCTTGGCCAGGTCGAAGCGGTTCATGTCCAGGTAGGTGCGCCACACGTCCCGGGCCTCGCGCTGCACGTGGTAGCGGAACACGGCCCGCTCGCTGTGGGCCCACAGGTGGCCGGTGGAGGCGTCCTTCGCCATGTGCCTCAGCGGCCCGAACTTCTCCAGGAAGTGGTCCCGCAGCACCACCTGCCCCGTCAGCGTGCACACCGCCTCCACCCGGTCCGCCAGCAGCAGCAGGAAGTGGAACTGGGTCAGGACGATGGCCAGGGGCGGGCTGGCCCCGGGACCTACCCCTTCTGGGTACTCCCAGACCCGCTCCTCGCTCAGCAGGGAGTCGGGACGCCCGTGGTCCAGTGATCCGTACAGCACGCCATCCCCCATCATCCAGGCAAAGGCCCGCGGCGCGGAGCGCAGTTTGGGGGTGTAGAAGGCCAGCTCGCTGTAGCCCAGGCTGCTGGGGAACTCGCGGAACGGGGGCGGGTGGTCCGTGAAGGCGGCGAAGAGCCCCAGGAAGCTCTGCGCCTCGGCTCCCTCTGGCGCTCGGCCTATGAACTGGAAGAGGCGCTGCCGGGTGGTGGCGATCACAAAGCTGCGCCCGTCGGGGCCCCGCTCGGCCTCGATGGAGCACACAGGTGCCGGGCCCCCCTCTTCGTTCAGGACGTACAGCGGGCGGAAGTAGAGATCCGGGGCGGGGCCGAAAAGCCCGCCCTCGCTGGCGGAGAGCTCTGCCTCGAAGATCTGGCCTTGGGCAGTGCCCACCAGGATGGGGCCTGTGCTGCTCTCGGTGCCCAGGGCCTTGTTCCAGCCCACACTCTCCACCAGCTGCCCCTTCCAGCGGGCCAGCGGCCGTACCTTCTGTCCGTTACGGTGCACGTAAAGGACCTCCGTGCTGCTCAGAGCAATCAGCAGGTGAAAGCCTGGAACAGGGGGGAGCGTGGCATCCTGGAGGTTGCTGCTATTCCACCCTCAGCCTCCTCCTTGCCCCCGCCACCAGACAGTGACTTACCTCAGCCCCACCCCCACCCACCAGCTTCCACTTACCAGTGTGGTCCAGGAACATCTTGTGAACTCGGGCGTCATCCTTGCGCCCCAGCTCCACGTGGTTGGGTTCGTTTGCCTTGCCCAGGTCAATGCTGTCAGGACAAGAGGAGGGCAGATCCTTTTCTCGAATCACAGACCTCTTTATAATTTGATGAGAGCCACCGCCTTTCTTCCCTGAAATCTACATATACGCATAGAACTCTGAACACAATCCCACGGGGACTCTGAAACACAGGCAGGTCCTTAACCCTCAGCTGAGAACTCCCGAACCTCATTTTGAGAAGTCCACTCAGCAGAAATCTTTCTCCTCTACTCAACAGACCTCCAGTGCATCCAGGAAAATAAGCAGGGGTATCCCAGACTCCTGGGGTGAAAAATGAATAACAAATTGTAGCTAATGGTTACTGAGTACTTTCTATATATCAAGCACCATGCCAAGAGCTTAATCTAGTATGATCTCAATCTTCACAATAACCTTGAGAAATACTCCTGTTTGAATTACATAATAGTTCCCTTATTAGAATTTTTTTAAATTATATGCTCATTCTAACTAAAGAAATCATTGTAAAGATGTATAAAGAAAAAACTTATGATTTTCTTCTCAAACCTGTCATTCCCAACAGAGAACATTGATGCTAACATCTTTCTCCATATTTATAATATAGTGTTTTGTCAATTTTTACAAAAATAACTTCATAGTGTGTGTGTGTGTGGGGGGGGGCACCTTAGCTTATAATTTGCTTTTCTCACTTGGATATTTCATGAGCATTCACTGAGTCAACAGATACAGCTCTAACTCGTTTTAATAAATGCATATTTCTTTTATGGCTGAACCATAACTTAATCATCATTTTCCTACTGGTAAGCATTCAGCTCATGTCCAGTTTTTCCTACCAGAGATAATGCTGTAATCATCCTGGCCAGGTGTTCTCAGTGGTTAGAGCACCAGCCTGGCACTGGAGGGTCTCAGGTTCAATTCCTGGTCAAGGACATGTTCCTCGTACCTCATTTGTGGGTTTGCTCCCTGCCCATGGTCAGGGTGTGTGTAGGAGGCAACTAGTTGATGTGTCTCTCTCACATCAATGTTTCACTCTCTCTTCTCCTTCTCTCCTTTTTACTGTCTTTGAAAAGCCATGAAAAAATATCTTCAGATTAAAAAACAAATAAATACACAAACAAACAGATAAATAATGCTGCAATCAATATCCTTGAATCTGTATCCTTGCAACTAGTACTTTTATTTCTATAGTTATGTATTTCCCAAAATGGGATTGCTGGGTCAGTTATAATTTCAAATTTTAACAGACATTGCCAATTATTTTTCCAAAAGATAGTGGCAATTTATACTCTCACCAGCAATGTATGAGAGTCCATTTCTGTGCATCTTCACCAGCACCACATATTACTGTTTTTAATTTTTGCCAATCTGATAATTTTTTAAAATGGCATCTTAGTGTTATTTTAATTTGAATTCCCAGAAGTTAAAAATATTTTCAGATGCTTAGTGGAAATTTGGAGTTCCTCTTCTGTGAACTGCTTGTTTATATTCTTTGCTCTCTCTTTTCTATTAATTTTTAAGGGCTTTTTAAGAAACAAGGATGTAGATTGTTAGTCATGTGGAAAAACTATTTTCCCACCATCTTTTGTCTTGAACTGAACCATTGCTATTTGTTCTGTCACAATAGCAATTACTATGCAATTAATTCTATCTTTTGCTTTTGGCATCTGGATTTTCTAGCTTAAGTAGGAAGACCTTCCTTCAGCCCAAGAACGTAGAAATTTATTAAATATTCTTTTTTTAAAAAATCCTCACCTGCCTGGTTGATATGGCTCAGTGATCCTCTCTCATCATTGATGTGTCTATCTCTTTCTCCCTCTCCTTTCCTCTCTAAAATCAATAAAAATATATTAAAAAAGAGGAGGATCCAAGATGGCTGCCCAGGTAAACACCTAACTGCAGCCGCACACAACAATTTCAATAAAATACAACTAAAATATAAAACGGACATTACCCAGAACTACAGGAAAGTTGACTGACTGGAAATTCTACAACGAGAAGCAAGGAGAAAACCAGAAGGAAGAGAGGAGGAGCTATAAAAGCCTAAGGTACAGAGACACGCGGCGCGCGGAGAGGACGGAGCCAGAGAGGAGGGGCGGCTGAGTGCCTGGCTGGCGTTCCCTAGAGGGAAGGAGATAAAAGCTCCGGACTGTGCTAAACCCCAGACCTGAAAGCGCTGAACCCCAGTTCTGGGCCAGACCCCGGGGACCCAGGCTCATACAGAGGGAGCTGGGCTATAAGGCGGAACCCCAGGGGAGCGGCGAAAGGCAGAGCCCCCGGAGGTGCATATATTGCATGCAGAGAAGGGACGGTTGGCTAACTGAACCCCAGTTCCGGGCTCATTGGGGAAGAGACTAGACTGTTTGGTAACAGGCGAAACTCGAGGGCACCTCACTCTCAGAGGTGCTTGCATTGAGTACTGAAGGACCCTGAAGAATACTGAGACTCAGGAGCCGCATAGGGCGTAGCTGATGGAAGCCAAGGCTGTAAGCTCCACCCTGAAACTCCGCCCCATCAGGGAAGCTGCAAAAATGCCAAGACAACTAAATAGATAAAATGGAGGACAAAAAGCGACTGGATATAGAGTTCAAAACCACACTTATAAGGTTGTTCAAGAATCTCCTAGAAAAGGCCGATAAAATAAACGAGACCTATCAGCATATGAAAAGGGATCAACTAGAAATAATAAGGGATCAACAAGAAATAAAGAATACATTGTCTGAAATAAAAAATATTATACAGAGTCCTAAAAACAGAATGGAAGAACGCAAGAATCAGGTCAAAGATTTGGAACATAAAGAGCCAGAAGACACTCCTCTGCAGAAGCAAGAAGGCAAGAGAATCCAGAAAATTGAAGATAATGTAAGAAACCTCTGGGGCAACTTCAAGCGAACCAACTTCAGAATTATGGGGGTCCCAGAAGATGAGAGAGAGCAAGATACTGAAAACATACTGAAAGAAATAGTGACAGAAAACATCCCCCACCTGGTGAAAGAATTAGACTTACAAGTCCAGGAAGCGCACAGAACTCCAAATAAAAGGAATCCAAAGAGGACCACACCAAGACAAATCATAATTAAAATTCCAAGAGCAAAAGACAAAGAGAGAATATTAAAAGCAGCAAGAGCAAAGCAGGTAGTTACCTATAAAGGAGCACCTATACGATTGTCAGCTGATTTCTCAACAGAAACCATGCAGGCCAGACAGGAATGGCAAGAAATATTCAAGGTGATGAATAGTAAGAACCTACAGCCAGCCAAAACTGGTTTGGCTCAGTGGTAGAGCGTCGGTCTGCGGACTGAAAGGTCCCAGGTTCGATTCCGGTCAGGGCATGTACGTTGGTTGCGGGCACATCTCCGGTAGGGGGTGTGCAAGAGGCAGCTGGTCGATGTTTCTCTCTCATGGACGTTTCTAGCTCTCTCTCTCTCCCTTCCTCTCTGTAAAAAATCAATAAAATATATTAAAAAAAAAAAAAAAAAAAAGAACCTACAGCCAAAGATAATCTACCCAGCAAAGCTATCACTCAGAATCCAAGGCCAGATAAAAAGCTTCACCAATAAAAAAAAAGCTAAAGGAGTTCATCACCACCAAACCAGAATTATATGAATTGCTAAAGGGGGTTCTTTTGGAAGAGAAAGTAAATAAAGATAAAAACTATGAACAACAAATACGTAACTATCAACAAGTGAATCTAAAAACCAAGGAAATTAAAAAAATATCTGATGAACAATATTAACTGTTGAATATAAAAGAATCAGAGATATGGAAAGGGAGTGAACTGATGATTCTTGGGGAAAAGGGGAGAGGGGGGTGTGGGAAGAGACTAACATAAACTGTGCACCTATGGATGAGGACAATGATGGGTGGGGAAAGGGCAGAGGGTGAGGTGGGAACCTGGTGGAAGGGAGCAATGGAGGGGGGGGGAGAGGAACATCTGTAATAATATGAATAAAGATTTAAAAAAAAATATATATATATATATGTATATTAAAAAAGAAATCCTCACCTGAGAATATGTTTAGAGAGAGATAGGAAGAATGAGAGAGAGATGGGGGAGGGAGAAACATTGATGTGAGAGAAACATCTATCAGTTGCCTCCAGTATGCGCCCTGATTGGAGATGAAACCCCCGCAACCTCGGTATGTGCCCTGAACGGGAATCAAACCTGCCGTTTTTTTGGCACATGGGTCGACAGGACAACACTCCAACCAACAAAGCCACACCAACCAAGGTGCACTGTTTATTTTTATTTATTTATTTATTTATTTATTTATTTATTTATTTGCTTTTTATGCACATTTTTTAATTGATTTCAGAGAGGGAGAAAGAGATAGAAACATCAATGATGAGAGAGAATCATTGATCAGCTGCCTCCTGCATACCGTGCCACCCCCCTCACACACACACACACACACACACACACACACACATACACACACACTGGGGATTGAGCCTGAAACCCTGGCATGTGCCCTTGACCAGAATTGAACCCGGGACCCTTCAATTGGCAGACTGACACTCTCTCTACTGAGCCAAACTGGCTATTGCCAGGGTGCATTGTTTTTATTTTATATTTAAATAACGATAACGATTTCACCTAGAATTTATTTCTGTGACACAGAGGTTTAGCTGTTTTATCCCAAGTAATTATTCCTGGGATAATTTGCTAATACCTTTGTCAACTTATATATGTATTTATTTCCAGATTTATTAAAATACATTATCTCAATTTTTTAAAATATATTTTTATTTATTTCAGAGAGGAAGAGAGAGAGAGAGAGAGAGAGAGAGAGAAAGAGAGATCAATGATGACAGAGAATCATTGATCAGCTCCTCCTGCATCCCCTACCCTGGGGATCGAGCCTGCAACCCAGGCATATGCTGTGACCGGGAATTGAACCATGACCTCCTGGTTCATAGGTTGATGTTCAATCACTGAGCCACGCCAGCCAGACCATTATTCCCTTTAGAGAGGATTTATTCAGGATTCCACTGATCCCTGTGACTAAGTGGGGGGTTGGTGTTATCTTTATCAGATGAAGGGACGCATTTAGAGACTGGCTGACTTACTCGATTCCAGCGCTGGCAAGTAGCAGAGCTAGAATGAGAATCCAGGTTCACCTTATTGTTAACTACCACCCTACACTGATTCTCTTTGGGAAGAATATTTCCTGAAAATTCCAAATCCCGTTTCACCTGCCCAGAGAAGTAGCAAGGCATGAGTCCGTTAACAGTCCCAAAAAATCACCACTCCACTCCTATTCCTACGTCTGGCCTCACTCACCGGAGCAATGCATCCTTGCCCAGGCTCATGCAGAGCTGATTGCAGGAGACGACAAGACTGGTGATCCGCTCGGACGGGGTAAAGTCAATGCGCTGCTTCGTGAAGATGGGCACTTCTTTCTCCAGCTGGGCATTCACATACCCTACAGGGGAGAAGCAAAGCGAAGGTTAGCGATGGGAGAGACGGAAGAAAGGCAAGAAACAGCAACAAGCTGCTCCTGCCCTGGCCCGTTCGGCTCAGTGGATAGCGTCAGCCTGCGGACTAGAGGGTTGCAGGTCCCTTTCCAGTCAAGGGCACATACCTCTGTTGCAGGCTAGATCCCTAGCCCTGGTCAGGGAGCGTGCAGTAAACAACCAATCAGGGTGTCTCTCTCATATCGATGTCTCTCTCTGTGTCTACCCCTCCCTTCCACTCTCTCTAAAAATCAATGGGAAAGTATCCTCCCGTGAGGATTAACAACAACAACAAAAACAGTGCTGCTCTCCACTTTCCCAACAGATTCCTACCCAGGGCCTTGGTTAACTAACCAATATGTCAAGTAGCTTGCTAATCACCTCTACATTCGGGGTCCTGGGCTCTTCCCACACTTCTGACAGAAGTGAGGAATTGATTCTTGGAACCCCTGGGATGCTGTGGATGCTGTCACGCCATGATGTACCTGGGGGAGTGGGGGTTGGGCATTTTCCCTTATCAATCTTTGGCCCAGCAACCCCAGCTCAACTAAAGTCATCTAGCTTCACCCTCTCCCTCCTCCCTGCCCGTGCAGTAATGCTCTCCATGAGTCTACGGGGAACCTGGGAAAACCGTTCCAATCAGCTGGTAAACAAGCAGAAGTTGCTTTCTCTCTGGCTTTACTTCATCCCTTTACCATTCCTCAAAACCCCCAGCACTTCAGACCCCTCTGCCAATTCTGTACTCTTTCTGCAAAAATGTCTCCTCTCGGTGCCAGGCTTCACCCAGCTCTAGCAAAGGCCTAAAACACTTCATTTCCTCCTGTTTGGGGACGAAGTTAGCTCTAGGACCATCCCTCCTTCTCCTACAACACCCGCCTTTCACCAGTTTCTTTCCCCATCTCCAGAAAGGCCCTCGAGAAAAGCACAGAGTCAGGTGAATCTTGAAGTCTATTATTCTCAGTTCTCCCAACTGCAGCCCTGCAGGCAAGTTACTTCCTTATCTGGCTCCCAGTTCCCTCTTACAAGGACCCTAGTGGCAGGGCCCGGATCACGCGGGTGCTCCTTCAAACTTCGACCATCACCACAGGAGCCCGGGGAGCACCAGGGGCCTAGACCCAAACTGCAGGCCCAGGAGGCGAACCAGGGCTCTGTGAGCCACCCTCCCTTTCCTTACCCGAGTGGGGGATGCCCACGCTGGGGCAGCCGGGCTGCAAGACGGCCGAGCGGGACAAGGAGTCCTCGTACTCATCCAGGATGGACGCCATGGGGCCTGGCTTCGGGACAAACGGGGCTTCCGCCAGGGATCCCTGCGCCCCGACTGAAGCGTGCGATTCCCCAGCTTCTACACAGCGACCTGACAGACCTGGCGATCGCCGCCCTCCTGCTCTTTAAAATCCCGAGGGCCTTCTCGCTGTCGCCTTACGGAACGAGAGGGCTCTGGAGCGCTTCCCCTTGAACCTGGCGCAGTCCTGCACCCCACGCCCGCCGCCAAGAGACCCCCGACCCCTTAGCCGAGCTCAGGTGATCCCCACTCGCCCCGGTAGCTCAGCTGACTCCCGCCCCCCTGGGCGCGCGCCGACTACGTAACTTCCGGGTTCTCAGCCCTCTCGTGCGCGGGCGCAGGAACTTTGCGGGGCGGCCACTGGGTGGCGTCGCGAGAGGGGCGGGGCCAGGAGGGGGCGGGGCGGGGCGGGGCGGAAGAGGCGTGTGGGCGGGGCAGTCATGTGGGCGGGGCGGGCGGGGCGGGGCCTGGACCCAGTCCTCCCCTGAGGGCGGGAACCGGAGTGCGGTTGCGGTTCCCAGCTTGGGGCGGAGGCCTGGCCGCTGGGTACCGCAGGCCAGTGAGCGGGGTGGCGGATTGGCTTCGCTGAACACAAGCCTCTCCTTCCAACACCCGCTGCAGTTCCGGGCTTTGCCACCAGGAGGTAATCCCGGCTTTCTCAGCCCCTTCCCCCCCCCCCCCCCCCCCCCCCCCCGACCTGCTCAGCCTCCAGCTCCAGCCTCGCGGGTCCCTGCCACCTTCCATGCCTAGGCTTTTCGCCCTCAGCTGGTCTCAGCCTCCCTGCCCAGCTCCGCTCCCACCTTTGTAAACAGCTCGCTGGCCTAGGTCCCCAGGAGAACGTCCTGTTCCTCAATCTAATCGCTGTCTGGATCCTGCCTTCACAAAGCACAGGATCTCTTTTTCCACATCCAGGGGCCCGCTGACAGAAGGCGGCAGAGCTGGGTGCCCCAGCCAGTGGGAAGTCATGTGCTACCTGACCTACCTCTGACCTGCTCTGCAGTGGAAATCTCCTTGGGGTCGGGGGAGGCCAGACAGGAAGGCAGAAGACAAGGCACAGCTGAGGGGTGTCAGGCTGCTTCCATTCTCTCATTCACCAAAAACTTACACTTTGCCTGGCCTCTGGCGAGGTGCTGGGGTCACAGAGTTAAGTACGGTACCAACCTTGAAGGTCGATGGGCCAATAAGTAAATAATTAATGCTAGGAACGCTGTTGATGGATTTGTTCAGGTCACCCATTTCACAAATAAACACACTCTGTGCCAGGCACGGTTCCGAGCTCTGGGGCACAGCAGGGGCATATCCAGAGATGTGGCCAGAGTGCTGCAAATACCTTCAAACCCGGCAGGAGCTAGGGACAAGTTTTGGAGGTGGGTGTGGAGTCCAAATAACAGGACTGCAAGGAATCAGGTGTGACTGCAGTTTGGTTTCCCTCTTCCACCGACTAGTTGACTCAGAGTCAGTTTCTTTTTCTTTTTTTAAATATAATTTATTTATTTATTTTTTTACAGAGAGGAAGGGAGAGGGATAGAGGGTCAGAAATATAGATGAGAGAGAAACACTGATCAGCTGCCTCCTGCACACCCCCTACTGGGGATGTGCCCACAGCCAATGTACATGCCCTTGACTGGAATTGAACCTGGGACCCTTGAGTCTGCAGGCCGATGCTCTATCCACTGAGCCAAACTGGTTTCAGCTCTTTATCTTTTTCTTTTCTTTTTAATATATATTTTATTGATTTTTTACAGAGAGGAAGAGAGAGAGAGAGAGATAGAGAGTTAGAAACATCAGTGAGAATCATCAATCAGCCGCCTCTTGCACACCCCCTACTGGGGATGTGCCCGCAACCAAGGTACATGCCCTTGACCAGAATCGAACCTGGGACCTTTCAGTCCGCAAGCCGACGCTCTATCCACTGAGCTAACCGGTTTCGGCTCTTTTTCTTTTTTAAAAAAATATTTTTTATTGATTTCAGAGAAGAAAGAAGAAGGAAAGAGAGACACACACGTCAGTGATGAGAGAGAATCGTTGATCAGCTGCCTCCTGTACACCCCCACTGGGAATCGAGCCTGCAGTTTGGGCAAGTGCCCAGAGTGTCAAACACTCAAACACTGAGCCACAACCGGCCCGTGGGGTCTGTTTCTTTGTGAGGCCCATGGACTCTACTTTGCTGAAGTGAGGAAGGCTCTTGGACAGAGACACCACCGTCCAGCTTTCACCGGTAGCCCCCAAGTAATGACTAAAAGCTCCCGCTTTATTCTCAAAAGGGTCCAGGTTTGCACAGTTCTCTCTGTGGTCACGCTTCCTTTGCCAAACTTCCCTGCCAGGCGCTGAGAACTGCACCCTCCCCAGCCCACACTGAGGGCTCTCTGGGCCTGGAGTGGCCCCGGGCCAGGGATGGGGTGACAGGTTACTGCGTCTGAGGTAACTTACGTTCAAGCCTGTGTCTCCCTTCGCTTGCCCGAAACCAGCGGCTCAGCCGCTCTCCCCGCCAGGGGCGCTGCGGGGCAGGGAAGGAGGCCTCCGCCCTGGGAGAAGGGATCCCAGCCAGAGAGCTGTCCTGCCCCTCGCATGAGGCCCCGCCCCATATCACCTGTCATCTGCATCAGGGAAACATAAACAGGTCCAGCCAAAGGTCAAGTCATCATAAAAGATACGTTTACTGATTGCCGACAATGTGCCACGCACCAGACTAAGTTCCAATTAGTCACTGTTATTTGATGTGCACGCTAATACTGTGAAGTAGGCACTGCTCTTTCCCCCTCCTCACAAGAGCAGAAACTGAAGTTCAGAGGGTGAATTTGTTCAAAGTCTTGACCAGGAAATGGGAAGCCAGGGGCCATATTCAAATCCAAGCACACTGTGCATGTCCCTAATGCCAGCTGAGAAAGGGAGGCCCAGCTGATCCCTCAGGTCTGGGCTGTGCAGAGAGAGTGACCCCCCGGCACGGAGCGGGTCAGCATGGGGGTGTTGTCAGGGACACAGTCCTTCCAGCCACCCCCTCGCCGTTCTGAAAGCCTCGCTCTTCCCCACTGCTCTCTTGGATGTGTGGGGTGGGGCCTACGTGGGCCTGGCTTACTATAGACACGGAACACACTGGATCCCTGCTGAGGTGGTTACAGCCGCATCTCCCACATGCTCATTACTCAGTCCTTCGGCTGGACTTTGGAAGAGCCCAGAGCCCAGCCCACTTTTTTTTTTTTTAATATATTTTATTGATTTTTCACAGAGAGGAAGAGAGAGGGATAGTCAGAAACGTTGATGAGAGAATCATCAACCAGCTGCCTCCTGCACCCCCCCCCCCCACCGGGGATGTGCCCGAAACCAAGGTACATGCCCCTGACCGGAATCGAACCCGGGACTCCCCAGTCCTGAGGTCGATGCTCTAACCACTGAGCCAAACCCGTCTTGGCAGCCCAGCCCTCTTATCCATCCCCAATCACTCGTTAGCTGTGACACTGCACATTTGATTGCTCTTAGCTTCGGTTTCTTCATCTACAGAAATAGATGCAATAATTACCTAGGAGGTCTGTTTTGAAGAGTAAATCTAGGAGAAAGCTCATTGCTATAGCATAATGTCTAACGTAGAACATATGCTCCTAATAGCCAAAACCAGTTTGCTTCAGTGGATAGAGCGTCAGCCTGCGGACTGAAAGGTCCCGGGTTCGATTCCGGTCAAGGGCATGTACCTGGGTTGTGGGCACATCCCCAGTAAGAGGTGTGCAGGAGGCCACTGATCGATAATTCTCTCTCATCGATGTTTCTAACTCTCTACCCCTCTCCTTTCCTCTCTGTAAAAACTCAATAAAATATATTTTAAAAAAAGAACATATGCTCAATAAACTCTAAATAGGAATTTAATCTGACAGTCACTCTCAAGTCACCTCCTTGCTGGACCACAACCTCCCCCTAAGAGCTACAATGGCTTTCCTTGTCCTGGCCACTTACTGGCACTTAATTATGAAGTGTTGACATTCTGCTGTGATATAACAGAAGCTGATTGTAAGAAATCACTCAAACTTTGCTGAGCACGGGAATACAGAGGTGCCTCAGGGAACTCACAGTTACAGACACAGATCCGCCAGCAGCTCCTGTCCCTCCGAATCCATGTGGCAGGGCCATGAGACAGACCAAGGCTGACTGCTGGGTGAGGGAGAGAGAGAACTGGAATACAAAAGCAGGTGAGTTTGAGCTAGGACTTGAAGTGCATGCTTGGTTTCCAAGGGCAAAAAGAGAAGTGCTTGGTTAGACAGGGCTCAATAACACCAAGCGGACCTTGAGCGGGGTGGCTCAGCTCCCCCGGCTTCTCCTGTGCAGATTCGGTTCCTGGTAGGGGACCTGCAGGAGGCAGCTGCCAGTCAGTGTTAAGCTCTTACATCATTGTTTCTCCCTCTCCCTCCCCCTCTCTCTAAAAAGCAAAACGGGGGTGGGAGTGGCCGGGGAGAGGCCAATGGGGGAAAAAGAAGACATATGTAATACTTTAAACAATAAAAAATTAAAATTAAAAGAAATAAAAAATATAAAGCAAAATCAATAAACTATTTAAAAAAAAATAAAAGAAAGGAAACCAAGAGCAAAGGCCTGCAAACAGTGTGATGTTTGAAGTTGGGGGGAAAGCCGAGCACTGTGGAGGAGGATGTGGGACTGGCTGTGGCCAGCCTGAGAAAGCCATGGGAAGGGCCCTCAGAGGCGTTGGTTCGGGGTGAGGTCATCTGATGTGGCTTGGGTGGAGTCCACATCAGGAAGGATGGGAGCTGAGGCAGGTGCAGAGGACAAGTGGTGAGGGACGGCCCAATCTGAAGAAAGAGTGAGAAGACCCTGGGGAGACATTCTGAGAAGGACCTGCTGGACTTAGTGTGAAGTTAGATTCAGGGGAGGAGGGAGAAAGAGGGGAGGACTTCTCTTGGGAGGCCTGGCAGCTGGTGCGGTGACACCACAGCCCAGGAGGAAGAGCTGCTTGGGGAAAAGAGGCAGAGGTCACATGAT